TTGTCTAAGTTACTCAATTGTAAATATGTGTCTTTTAATAGAATTTCAGACTTTTAGAAAATTGCAAGAACTTCATAGAATACTCTTAGGTAATACTTCTTTCCTTTACTCCATAGTCATAATTTACTACACATGTTTTATAAGTTTTCCAGTTAAGTGTGCATTTATGTCTGCAGGTTCTGGGGCTTGAATACAGGCTGTTCCTGAGCTTTTTTTTGCTCCAGGTTGATGCTCTACCTTTTAAGACCCAGCTCCACTTTGGGGCTTTTGGTGGTTAATTGGAGATAAGAGTCTCATGTCTTGCTGGATTTACACCACTATTGTCAGACCTTCTCTTCCTGAGTAGCTAGGAGTAACCAGCATGAGCCACCACACCCTGCCAATTGTCCCACTTTTTAAAAGGTTCTGTATATACTAATGCTCTCACTTAAGATCTGAGTTTAGTTAGGATGGAAAGTTCATGGTTTGGAGTTTCAATTTGCTAGATATTTTCCTCAAACAGCCGATGTTACCCCCCAGGTGTGCTCATTTGTTTCACTAGTTTTGCTCATGGGAATGCTCAATAATGCATAGAGATTCACAGAGCTCAAAGTAAACCTTCCTGACATAAAGTATATTATGTTCTTTGCTAGAGAACTGGCATGCCTAGTGGGCTTATCCCACTTAAAAATTTATTGTTACTATAATTTATCTCATTGCTTTATCTCTTGAGAGGTCTGGTTCTGAGGTCAGATGACTGGAGTTTGCCTCTTAGATTAAAAAAAAAAAATCATGGTTGAAGGAAGATATGTTAGTTAAGCACCAGACTTTAACACAGAGTTACAAGGTAGCCAGAGAAAAGAGGATAATACTTCTTTGCTCTAAAAAGAAGTCTATCATTTCACAAGGGCTCTGAGGAAAATAAACAATGGAGTCTTTCAAAAATGGCAGTCACTTTTTTTTGTCATGGAACTTGAACTCAGGGCCTGGGTGCTGTTCCTGAGCAATTTTGATCAAGGCTAGTGACCTACCACTTTGAGCCACAGCTCTACTTCCAGTTTTTGAGTGGTTAATTGGAGACGAAAGCTTCACAGGAACTTTTCATGTCTAGGCCGGCTTCGAACTGCTATTCTCAGATCTCAGCCTCCTGAGTAGGTAGGGTTACAGGTGTGAGCCACCAGCACCTGGCTAAAATAATCTTTGTGTGTGTGTGTGTGTGTGTGAATAAATGTTCTAGGAAGCTAATCTTCCCATATTGGTTTTATATAGGTAGAACTTAGAGAATTCTGATGAATAATTACAATTCAACTGGCTGCAAAAGGTCTCAGGAGACAAGATGATCGTCAAACTTTGTTGTACATACATCCCTGGAGGTTGCACCATGGTATCTCAGAAGCTGCTATAAGGTGTAAGCAAAAGCTCACTGCATGTCTCCTTCGCTCCCCCAATACACATACAAAGTTATTCAGAACCATGCAGTTTATTTATTATTTAGTATATCCCTTCAATATACATAGAGACATTGACTACTATACGTATCTATTGGTTCAGCAAGGAACTAAATGAGTGTAATAACTAGTTCTTATTCCTAAAGGAAATAAATTTTCTAATTACTGCCTTACAGAATACTTTGCAAATACAGGCACAAGTTGTCAAGGCCAAATGACTATTATACAAAGCAAGTTATTTCAATTCCTGGATTTCTAGTTTCCTCACTGATAAAGGGGGATAGATAATTCTATCAACCTGGCAGGGTTATTTTAAGCTTTTACAATAATGAGTGATGCATTAAACACAAAGAATGTCACTTTTGTTATTGTGTTTCAATGTTACCACTAGAAAGTAGAATGGGGACAACACCTAAATGATAGTTATTATTACAGCCCTTGAATAATATACAGTGCAGACAAAAAACATGGTTCATAACACCAAGACACAAAGAAAAACACAACTTTTGTGTTTATAGTTATGAGTGTCTACATTAAAAATCAAGAGAATTTCCAAATAAACAACCTAATGATGTACCTGAGTGTCTTAGAAAAGTAAGAACAAGCCAAACCCAGAAAGAGAAAATGCCCTGGGTAGAAATTTTGAGATACACACTAAAACAATAATACAAACAATGAATCAAATAATGATAATTCTTCAAAGCAATATATTAAAATAAACAATCTAATTCGGAGACAGAAGACCCAAAATTAATAAAATTAAGAGATTAAAAAAGAAGACAGTATAGTGGTTACCACTGAAATCCACTGAATCACTAAAGAATATATTGAAAATTTATGATCCATTGAATTGGAAAATCCAGAATAAATGAAAAACATTGCCAAATATAATTACCTAAGAAAACATTGAATCAAGAGATATAAATAATATAAACAGACAAACTGTAAACAATGAACATATTTATAACTACTGCATCCAGGTATACTTTATAAATAAATATAAGCACAAGTTCATAGGTCAAACAACTAGTAATCAAGAATTTAATAAAGAAGAATAAAGTAGCAATAGAGAATCATACAACGAAGAAAAGTCCTACAACATTATAAACATACCAAACACAATTTCTATGTGACTAGTCTTCCCTAGCCTTGATGAAAGTTTGCAAGTTTATTCTTTGGTTTATTCCCTGCCGTGACATAGACCAAGTACTTGTGACACTATATGAAAAAAAGAAAAAATAGGTGAAGCAATGCAATAAAAAAAAAATATTTCCCCAGTTATCTCTGCTTTCATGCAATATTATAAAGGGTACTGTAGGGCCCCCATCAAGAAACTGAAAAATGAAAAATTCTGTGAGCTCTCAAAGGGTAAAAATTTAAACACACACACACACACACACACACAGAAACAAAAATCAGAATGCTATTACCTGAAACGAAGATAATCCTTCTTAACTAAACAATGTAGTTGAATAGCATTTATAATATCATGGAAATAAAAGCATCTACTTCCTGCTATACTGATCTACCAAAATTAAAATGTAACTAATACACTGAGTTCCATGAAACTATTTTTGTGTATCATAACTAGTATATATTTCAAACATATACCAGGGGCATAAAAAATGGTGTGTAAAATGGTGTGGTTTTTTTGTGTGTGTATGTTAGGAACCAAAAGAGACACATGCTAAGATAATGCTTAAAACTCAAACAACAAGAAGAAAATATGTATAATCACACAGATTTGACATCTATTTATTAAATAAATGACACCCTTAATCTAAATCTCAAACAGTTGGTTCAAAGTGGTACTGAGTAGCCCCAAAAAGTGGTTTATGTAAAAAGAGGGGAACTCATTTCTGTTTTGTTAGGTGTTTTATTCTATTAGTAATAAATTTGATGATTTGAATCTTTACTACATAAGTCTGTAATAAATACTGGATTATATGTAAATTTAATAAAAAGAAAATTGTCTCTAAAATTTAACAAAAAAAGGATAAAAGCCAGATGCTGGTGGCTCACGCCTGTAATCCTACTCATTAGGCTGAGATCTGAGGATCACAGTTCAAAGCCAGGAATGGCCATGAGACTCTGATCTCCAATTAAAAAAAACACCAGAAAACCAGAAGTAGTACTGGCTCAAGTGGTAGAGTGCTAGCCTTGGGCTGAAGAGCTGAAGGACAGTGCTTAGACCCAGTGTTCAAGCGTCATGATGGACAAAAAAATGAAAAATAAAAAAGGACAAAAGAGAGGAAGAAGAAAAAAGAAAACAAGAGTATAAAAGGAGATGGAGATGCACTATAGATTCTTTAATGTCTCTAGAGGCCCTTCCTGAATAAAGGAACACTACTTGTGCCATATTCTTATTAGGGATAGACATTCTCAAAACCATTCTTCCACAAAACAAGATCAAAACAGTGAGTTTACTTCTTCATCATTTCATTAATTTTGTCAGATAGTTATCTTTTTAAGGTTACATATGCAGAAAAATTCTCCAGTTGCTCATTACTTGGTCTTTGGATGAAATGAGATACTTTTTTTGAGTAATATTCAGTTTTAAAGTTGGTAATTATATCAGTAATCTCAGAGGCATTCAAAACACTATTGCACAGCCTTTTTTTTTGGTGGTAAAAGAAAATGAATAGATTAAACCTAAAAACCTATGTATAATTTAATGGAATAAAGGAAGCAAAAGAGACAGGAATGATTTGTGTATATCCATGTGAAAAGTAAGAAATAGACTCACTAAAATGAAAAGAAAAATATTTGAAAAGTAGTAAATGATTTTTCTGTCATTTCAGCCTTACCCAATTCTGCATCTTGAACAGTCTTTCAATTATACTATATGATACATTATCATTCTTACTGTGTCCACTACACTGGTTGAAATGACAGGCGAATGTGTTTACAATCTACGTGCAGAACTTTACCAACATGAACAGCATTATTTTGTCAGTATTTTTCCAAATAAGCCAAATGCCCGGAGTATGAATAAGATCTGATGAATTCTTTTCCAACTTTTTTAAATGTGATGAGTCAGATCCCCAGACCTCTAAGATAATTTTGTTTTCATTAAGCAGGTTTTAGCAGCCACCTAATGCCAATTCCCTTTCTAAAACACCACAAAGACAAAAATCCTATCCTATAAAGATACAAGCATGCTTTTCCTTTGTTAGGCAGTACAGTGAGTCGATTAAATTAAAAACAATACTATTGCTGGCATTTTCATATGACAGAAATCAGAAGTGATAAGCTATAAGGGGAGGAGAAGAGAAAATCTTAGGGTGGTCAAGTTAGAAAGAAAAAAGAAAACTTTCTTGAAGAATTGAGAAAGACTCTAAGCAAAGAGATTACAGTATTCATGTTTGTATGTCCATAGCCTACCACAGAAAGAACCTGGTACACCAAGGAAATACTCAAAAATAGTTGCTGAATTAACGTAATGATTGAAACACAAAGCTACTCAATGAAACAAGAAAGGAAACGCCATATGATATCAATACAGCAGTCTTAGATGGTCAGAAAAACAAAACAAACAAAACCAGCCTCCTTTCTGAGAACAACAGCTCCTACCTGTTGTTGTACTGGTACCTGCTGTACCACCTGTGTAGGCACTGCTGCTTGACTAGCCACAGATGTCTGTAAAGTCACTGTCGAACCTGTGTCTGACCCAGTCTCTGATGTCTGCATGATGGTTTCTGAAATACATGAAAACAGAGTTCAAAATACTTTCCTTGCATGACTACATTCACCAAATTTGTTCTTAATATCCTATATTAAGACTAACTCATAATACCTCTCAATCCAACAGACTGCCAGGATAATTCAGAATGTTTACAATCATTCAGACCACTTTTAAAATAAGTACAGAAAATTATTAATCCATATTTTTATTTAAAAAAAAACCCTCCCTAGTACTTCTTTGCTTGAAATGAGAGCCTCAACTTCCCTAAAAACATCTGTGCTTAGATCTCAGCCATTATAAACTATTTCGATCTATTTATGATTCAAAATTATATGTATACTCTTAATTCTCAGAATATAAGTTTCCAAGTGGGTACAAACACATCAAAATGACTACACTTTCTGATGGAGGAGGAAAATATAGAATAAATATTAAGGTCCTTTCCAACTTAAAAACTTACTGTCCAGTGATATTTATCACCAGGAGTGAGTTCCCTCATTACCTCAAGCATCCTGACCTTTTGCAACTTATAAATAATACTTCTAAAATAACTATAAATTTCTTTGTAATTGAGCACAGATCAACATCATAATTTTTTCTGTGAATGAGAACAAGGTTCACTGTGTTACCCTAAGGAAAAATATTACATTATGTTTTAAATCTGGGAAGAATAAAATGAACATTAATTTTTCCATAAAAGAATTTTCATAAAACAGTTCCTTTGGGGAGAAAATGTTTCCTTCTCAGTAAGTTTCTACTTTCTCATTCAACTTTCAAAATGGACTTCTGAAGATGTTAAAAGTGGCTCTTTTTATTTTATAAATGAGGAAACAAAACCCAGAGATTTTGAGACTTATTTAACAGAGATTGGAGAAGAGTTGGGACTAGTCTTTTTCATTTCAAACTCCAGTTTAATTTTCTGTTTAGACTGACATTGTCATCTCTGTAGAAATCTGGGTATTTTCTTATTCTTTAGGTAGTACAAATCCTAAATCAACACAATAAATATCTCTTCCATAGGCTGGCTCAGAAGGTGAGAACTACAATAGTCTATCATTTTGTAAGTCTTTTCCTAATGCACACAGGAGAAATAGCAGCTATTATTGATCACTTAACAAATGCTTCACATGTTAATTCATAAATAAATTAGTCCATTTAAGAATCCGATGAATTGGTATGCCTTTAATTTTCATCTACTATTGAGGTACTTCATGTACATAAAGGAGAGGAGTTAGGGATGGCCAATTTGAAAGTGTTGAGGAATGTGACTAATGTCTGATTCATATTTATTAGCTAAAATTGAGCTCTAGAATATTCCAGTTATATAGGAAAGCCAATCAGTAAACAGTTTTGAGTTTTCCAAAATAAGCTGGAAATTTAAGGTTTTTTACATGGAATTCTAAAAACGGTGGCTCACTACTTAAAGATATTGTAAAATGCTGTAAGGTGTTTTACCTAAACAAAAACATGTACATGCACACATGCCACTCTGGACTAAGTTTACAGCTAAAACTGTAGGAGAATGAGAGCCTACACTAAACAAAATGCTTGCCTGATTACTTTTCTTTTTGTTTTGTTTGTCTGTCTATGTCTTTAGGAGTATAAGGGGAAGCACAGAAATGGAGGAACAAAGGGTAATAAACATATTCAACAATGGAGCTCACTAGACACTGTTGAAAATGAACGATACAACTTGTGGGATGGTAAGGAAGAACTACGGGGGAAGGAATGGGTAGCATCATCCAAAAGGAATCAATATTCTCAACACTTGGGAAGTAAGAGCCCTAACCTACCATGCACAAGGCCATAGATTCAGTCCTGAGCAGTACTAAAAATAAGTTTTTGAAAGAGAAATGCACACTAGAAACCTTATCAATACATACTCTTTCTTCTATCACAAAGAGAAAGTGTACGTACTTATAAACTATTGATGCCTTTTATGCTATGCAGATATCAATTTCTAAGAGTAGGCAAGAAATGAGGAATAACTATTAGAAGAACCTGATGAAGGTTTTTATTTGTTTGTTTGTTTTTGGTGGGGTTTTTTTTGGTCTCACTAACATTAAGATAGTTAGTGAATTCTGGCAGTTTAAATGTCGATCAGGTGGTAAGTTATTGCTTTTCCTTTAAGCTGCACATTCAAAGGTAGATATGTTTCTTACAGTGAAGTACTTATAATGCTCCCCCCAGTTTACTCCAAAGCTGAGTGCAAAGTCTGCCAAGGCTAATTTGTGTACTTTCAGAAGTAAAAGTAAGATTTTCTTTATTTTCTAAGTGACACAATTGAGGCTCAGAGAGGTTAAGTTGCTTCCTCAAGGCCATACAAGTAGGAAATAAGAAGAAATATTTGAATGTCCTATTATAAAGCCCATGTTTTAAACTCTTGGAAGATACTGGAAGCACTGTGCTTCACCAGAAACAGAGAGGAATTTCAATCACAGTAGAGAGAGAGAGAAGCCAGCAAGTTAAATTTTAGAATGAGAAAAAGAGGGAGGAAAAAGGAAAGGATGAAAAGAGAGAATGGGAGGATAGAAAAGGGGAAAGGAAAGGAGAGAAGTGAGGCCTGGAGCAGGAAGGGAGGGGCTACAAAGAAAGGCTAAGTATTTAACAAGAGTAATTATAAAATCAGAGTAGGGATATCAAGGGAGTAGATACAATAGTTTGTAACACTTCAAAGCTAGAGTGCTATGAAGAACTTTCTATCCATTCTTTGTCCTATCTATACCACACCAAAACTGGCACCAAACACCCAATAAAGCACACAGAAGCATCTACAATATCATCTGATACGACCCAGAGTCCTAGAGTATCAACAGTTTGCTCCAAATTTGGCTTCTGGGCCATAGGATTAGAGAAACAAATTAAGAATTGCACCCCTTAGGGTTTCTTGGTTTGTTTTTTGCCTTTATGCACAGGACTCTTCATTCTTGTCTTATTTCACTATTTTCTTCAGCTTTTAGGAAGAGTATTTCTCTATCAAGCCTCATAACTATAGGGAGTTTCAATCACAAACCTCCCAAAAACCCTAACTCTAATTAGTTCTATCATTTGGTGAGTTCTTTCCAAATGCTTGGAACCAGGCCAACTGCTCTCAATACATTTTCTAGTTTACTCCTCACAAGAATCCCATGATGGAGGTGTTATGATCCCTATCTAACAAATTAGAAAACTGAGACACAAAATTTACCAAAAGCAACACAATGAGAACGAGGAAGACTCTAAATTCGATCTGCATGTGTCTGACTTTAATACCCATGTTAACCACTATGCACAAAACTTCACAACATCACTATTTAAGGGCCTCCAAATAAAAAGCCAGAGACTGCCAGAATGAACAGCAGTCCTTTGGACTCTGAATATAAACAATAATGGAAATGCATCCCATCTCTCTGATAATAAAATTTCCCCTCTTTTTACTGAGACTATAATAAAATTCAACTGTTAAATTTTTTCCACAAAATCAACTCAATTAATTTTGAAAATTAACTTTTTTTAACAGCAAATCAGAATGTAAAGCATGTTTTAAAAGTGGGGCCAGGCACCAGTGGTTGACACCTGTAAATCAAGCCAGACTGAGCAAGAAAAGTCCATGAAACTTCTCTCCAATAAACTACTCACAAAAAGCCAGCATGGAGTTCTCATTCAAGTGGTAAAGCACTAGCAAAAGAAGCTAAGAGACTGCACCTAGGCCCTATGTTCAAGCCACCAAGATTGGCACCAAAAATAAAAAAAGAGAGAGAGGAAGTATGATTGTTCTGAAAATTCTGCTAAACATATGACTTAACCCCACTGACATACGATGAGTATTCCAACATTTATACAAAGTAAGGATCATCACTTGAGGGCAGTGTCTAAGCATGCTCTATTAATAGGTTTTGTTTTACTCCCAGCACAAAAATTCATGAGTACAGTTGAGGTGTTCTCATTCATTCATACTGCAGGGGTTTCTGGTGCTTTGTTTATGTTTGGGGGTAATTTGGTTAGTTTACTTCCTTCACAGCTCCTTTTCATTTGATATTTGTTTATCAGTCACAAATAGAGTCACAATAATCCATTTTGATAAGCTAAATAAACCCTGCATTTGTCAATGATGCAGGCCGTATGTAAATGAGTTGTATATTCTAGCAGGACAGACAAGCACAATTTCCGTCCAGTCATCCCTGCCTAATGTGGCTGTCAGGTGTGTCGTGAGCAACAGATGCTTGTTTGACAAAGGACCTTTTTATTCTGGCTAATTAAGCAGCTGGACACACCCGCCTGCTAAAGGTTCTGCTTTGTACAGCCAGCTCTGGTTGAATCATGCAAATCCACAGCTAAATAGGCCACATTTTGAAAGAAGGCTAATTAACCCCTAGGAGAAGGAAAAGAGTATTTCAAAATCCCAGCTGCTAAATGCAACAAGATTAGCATTCCTTCAACCTGATGGGCAAACCTAGGCAAATCAAATGTGTTTTGAACAAACATGTATTATTGCAAGTTTTAAGGCATTTAAATGTTCTTTGTGAGACTTTCTGAGGATTATTTAATAAAATCAAATTCACAGCTGGATTCCTTTTTAGCACACACTATACATGCCAGATTAAAAGGTTTAATAGTCTGACCTAATCAATGGCTATATGACTGGCCTAGCTTAAAAACATGTAGTGTCCACCTAATTTTCATTGATATTCCTTCTTGCAATAACAGACTGTCCCAAACTGCAAACTTTGATTCCACTTCACTTACTGTTTTGTTTTAAACACTAAAGAATGCAAAAAGTTCTCTGAATTGAAAAAAAAAAACAATGGAAGTGAAACAGAGAATTTTTCCCTTTTTCCTTAGCACAGAAAGACAACAGTATCTAATACATATTTAAAGCAAATTAACCAGACTTATTATAATATTCTCTTTTAAAAGTACAGAAAAATAACCCATATCTCAAATGTGGCCATTAGAAACCTGAGTCAGCATAAGATTACTAAAATGAAAACTATTGGATTAACTGGATGTAAGAATCTCATGAGCCAGGTGCTG